GTGGCCTCATGCTGAATCCCTCAAAATGCCAGACTATTGACTTCTCCCTTAGGCATAAACGAGATCTACAAACACTAGTAAGCACTCATGAAGATTGTTGCATTGAGGGGACTCAAGTCGAAACTAGGTCTAGTGCAAAATACCTCGGTCTAGTTCTATCTTCCGACCTTCCTTGGACATCTCATATCCTAACGATTTCTAAGATAGTGTTCTGTCTAACCTACTACATTAAGAAACTTAGACAATCTGGAATCACCCAACCTCTACTTTCACAATTTGTCAACTCTTGTATCTTACCTATTCTACTTTACTGCTCCCCGTTAGTCTTTCCTTGGTTACTGAAAAAGGACTACACCATCCTAAGAAGGATGTTGAAGGTAGTTAGTAGGACTAGTGGTGTAAAACTCAGTCAGCTCGTCACTACATTAGTTGAAAGGCATCTGAATACATGCGAAAAATGGTCTAAAACCATACTCTCCGACCCCCAATATTAACTGACAATCTTGGTTGTGAAAGCCATCATCACCATCTTAAAAATTTTGTATTATGCAGGATTACTCGCACTACCACTACAAACACTGCATTAGACCTGACAATAAAAAACAAAACAACAACCCTGAAATGTTATTTTATGATTGTTTAGTGTTGTTTCAACCAAATTAACTAATCAGCTTGGCGATAAATATTCTTAAATATCATTTCATAACTTCTTGTATGACTATAGCTTTACTGTCACCATGCATAATCATTTCATAGCTTCCACTGCCCAATACTGAGATATTATTATGTGCTGTTTATTTTCCTTTCTACTTCTTGGTATTTTTTCGCATTTAAAAAAAATTATTTTTGTGTTTTTTCGTTGTTGTTGTCTTTATATTTATTTTTTTGAAATACTCCTTTTAAATGTTTGATAAAATTAGATGCAAATATTGTAGATATGTGCTGAAAATTCCACACTGTATACCACTAGTACTGTTTCTGGAATAAAGCAAATTATTATTATTAATTTAGGACTCATTGGAAGTACAAACACGCACACCACAAGGGTTCGAACCCAGGATCAACTGGCTACAAGGCAGTCTTGTTGATCATTCACCAACTGGAACACGATTCAACGGCCAATCTATGAATTCCAGATTCTACCAATTCGTGATTTTACCGCGACCACTACCCAGTGTCGTAAAACCACACACTGCTGATTTATTGAACTGAATAGCTGTATACCATAGCACTCATATAAAACCGGTCATCCGGTTTTGAGATCCCTTCGATTTTGCTAGCCACCACTACTAATTCATGTGGATGGTGTGGCAAACAACTACTATTCATGTCAGACAATCAGTAGTATATAGTTTTGCGGAAATATATTTGCTTTCTTGATTAGCATTTATTGCACCACAATTATTATTATTGTTCCTTCGGGTTTCGAGTGCACCACAGGGTTTCAACAACATATCTCCGCTTTCTTCTATTTTCTGCCATCCTCTTCAGCTGGGTCCATGATTGTCCAAACTCTCTCATCTCTTCCTCCAACTCACACGATCTCCTCCATATCACACTCACACCGACAACTCACTCGTCGTTTCCCATTGGGATTCCACTTAAACGATGGCCTAATGGTGGCTTGATGTCTCCTCAACGTATGCCTGATCAATCATCCATCTCCATTTTTTCCTACATATTTGTTGAGCAATCGACTCTTGGTTGGTTTGATCCCCGGCTAGAGTTTCTTGTTACTAATTCTTTCTGAAAGCCTATTTGATGTTCAGTATGGTGCCAGGGAATAGGGGGAGCAGCTGTTGATGAAAGTCTGTAGTAGCCGCTTGGAAATCCTTTTCGTGACGGGCGCGCAATGGAAGTTCTTGACCCGTATAGAAGGACCGTCTTGACACTGGTGATTGAAATCCAAATCTTGCTGTTTATGCTGGCTGAGTGAGTGCAGAAGATTTTGCACACTGATGTCAGAGTGATGAAGCAGTATGTAAACTTTCCGATTCTGGCTGGCCAGCTTTGACATCCTCATCCGTTCCGAGTGCCTGTGGTTGAAACCATACTTCCTAGATGAGTGAAGGTAGGAAGTAACCTCTGTTTAATCTCTTCCGTCGATGGTGTTGGTTGGTTATCTTCATCACCTCCGTTTTCTCTATGTCCACCTGGAGTCCTGTGTCGGCTGCTTGCCTCGCCTCTTCAGCTAGTTTGTTGGTTTTCGCCTGCCTGAAAGTCTTCGAGTTTGTGTGACACTAAACATTAATCATCCTCGCACATAATCCAGATCTTCTGGAGTCTTCTTATCGGTGGTCCAAAGTATTCCTGTCTTGTCACTCCCTGTGCTAAGCCTGACGATTAATCCGGTCCACCACAATTAAGAATATCGTCAATGATAATAGACAGCCAACTTATCTTACTCCCGTATGCATTTCGAAAGCTTCACTGAGTTTTCTATTGTAGATCAGCCGACACGTGGCATTGTCATATAGCCAGATGTAGGATGAGGTTGATAAAAACTTAGGCACTTCACGCCGTACTGTTGAAGTAGTTTCCAAATTACTTCTCAGTCACCGCTGTCTGTCAAACGCCTTTTCGAAGTCGATGAAGGAAGTTGAGGGTGAGGTTTGACTGCCATTATATGCTATGTTCAGTGATGACGATGCATAGACGCGTATCAAACAGATCATATGTTTTGATGTGAATAAATTGGTTTCCCGAAGGAAACTTTGTTGAAATTTCACTCCTCAAACTGTGTACATTGGAAATTTTGAATTTGGTTCCAGGAAAGAAAGAACATATTTGCAGGATGATACGACCTCCTTGTATTTCTAAGATTTTGTTCCAATTATAAGAATAGTTAACGCCTTTTCAGCACTGAATAATTTGTCCACTTACATCCCGTTTCGTAATTATCTTGCTTATACTCTTAATAATACAGTATCACTGTGATACAAGTATATGCAAACACCATTTTGTAACTTATAATTAAGGTTGTGAGATGTTGATAAGAATCCAAGAAATAGAAACGAACTTGTTATATCCTTTGTTCAATGAGAGCAATATTTGATTGCATGTAGGATTTCATTATGAGCTGACATCAGTTGGAGAACCATTGGAAAATCTGGGAGTACTGGACAGCTGTTTCGTCCTATTTTGAGACTCTCAATCAGTACGCAACCACCACAGGGGTTCGAACCCAGGACCTTCTGGTTACAAGACTAGCGAGCTCGTAGACCATCAAGCCATTGCGACCCGATGCAATAAGCCCATGAATTCTAATTTCTGCCAATTCACGATATAGCGCAACCGCTAGCCAATGTCTTCGGCGAGTATTTGTCCTCACGCCCGACCTGCTGTACCCTACTGGTCACGGCTTCCCACTAGAACCCCAGGTTAACTACCTGAATAGAGCCAGTCGCTAGTGGGTGCATACTGATGAAGAGTCCCAAACTAGGATGGGGAAAAAGCTGTCCAATACTCCCAGGTTTTCCAGTGGTTCTCTAACTGATGTCAGCTCATAATGAAATCCTCCATGCAATCAAACAAAATACCTACAAAACCAATACTTGAAGATCAATATTTCTATTCCTAAATCTTACCAATTCTAATAATAAGCATTTTTCTTGAGTACTATCAATCACATAGGAATGGTTCACAATTTACCGTTCTGCTTCCTTATATATTGTTTGGAAATTTTCTCCACTGAAAATAAAGAACAATATATTCGGATTTTCAACCCCAATGTCAAGTCAAAACTTGACGTTCACGTCACGGAAAGCATTCAAAACAGGCTACTGAAGACTTTTATCAACAGCTGCTCATTTCCCTAGTTCCATATTGAAAGTCGAATGGCTAGAGAGAATCAATAACAAAAAACTATGGGAATAAACCAATCAAGAACTTATTGCTCAATGAATATCCCGAAGTAAATGGGGGTGCATTGGACACACACTGATGAAACCAGCGAATGACATCGCACTCAATGCAAGCCATCTCTCGAGTGAAACCCCAACAGCAAACGATCAGTTGGGTGTTTGACCGAGAGTGACATAGAGGAGATCATGCGATGGAGAGAACAGAGACTATGGGCACTCGTGGGATCAGCTAAAGAGGACCGCAGAATATAGGACGAGGTGAAGATGTGCCATTGAAGGCCTATGTTCAACTCGGAGCCCAAAGGAACAATAATAATAATAAAATTCCAAATATGCAAATAGCTAGGTAGTATTACCAACTGACATTAGTATCCAAACTGTATTTGTTGACATTTTCTACGACCATTTCATATTTTTCTGAAGTTTCTGTAGCAATTACAGTGAATTTCCGGCGTGGGATCGTTAACGAGACGAGAAGAGATAGCTGATGGAGTTACTTAACCAACCAACCACTATCACCAAAAGGGATAAATTTGAATTATGTCACTTCTCTCACTTATCTAGATAGTGTCTTTTCAGGTGAAGGTGGCACCGCGACCACAAAAAGGAAGACAGACCCCTCATCAATCTAAAATCATCAGTGTGGAAACCAAATGTACTCAAAAATAAAGAAGAAGATACGGATTTTTCAACATTAACGCCATATCAGTGATTTTATTATGTGGTTAACAAACTTGACACGTGCGTCACGAAAAACCGCCTTCTTCGCTGGCTCCATATACGGAAGATCAGATGGCCGGCCAGCTAGAAAGAATTAGCAACAACGAACTCTGGAGATGAACCAACCAAGAACTTATCACCCAAAGAATACGCAAGAGAACATCGAGATGGATAGGATTCACGTTGAGGAGACCACTACTGAGTGAAATCAAATCCTAGATAGACACTCTCGAGTGGAATCCATATGGGAAACGATGAGTTGGGTGTACGTCAGGGGATGACAAGGACGAGATCGGCGTCAGGAGGAAATGACAGCGCCTATAAGGCAGCCAGAATAAAAGCCAGTACATACCACAGTGAAACGGAGATGTGCTGCTGAACCCAAGGGAATAACAATAACAACAGTGAACAACGTCCTTTTTTAATAAATATTCATTTGTCATACGTAAATAAGCAAGTACATAAACTAATTCCATACACATCACTAGAACAAATATTGATTATCATTTAAGAAAGAAACTAGGATCAAGTAAAAAAAAGAGAAAAAGGCGATCAAAACACTAAATTATCCAGATCAAGAGATCGATCACAGTAGGGTGTACACAAATACATACACCTGTTGTCCAATTGCACACAACATATATATATTTATACCTGTATAAAAACACAAAACTAGACACTTCCACTCCATCTAACATCCTCTCTTCGGTTGATCTATCCGTATTAATTTCTCAGCTAAGGCAAAATATGCCCGATAGGCGACCGTTGGACCGTGTGTATCAAAATGACAATGACCACAATTGGTCTGATCTTGATTGAAACAATGAAAGTGCTCTAATCGTAGACCAAGTTGATGCTGTAGAGACAAAAACACAAAAAACTGATTAATCAAAAAAAAGAAAAAATATGATCAGAGATGCTCATTACTGACTGAGATATTTAAAGACTGAGGGTTAGTGAATAGAGAATGTAATACCTTTGGATAACTCCTTCTTCTTCTTCATCATGTTCTATAGTTAACGATCCATAGCAGTTAAACAACAATACCAACAATGTTAAATTTACAGGATTTCATCATGAGCTGACATTGGTTAGAGAACCATTGGAAAACCAGCCATAGGGAGTACTGGACAGCTGTTTCGTCCTAGTGTGGGACTCTTCATCAGTACGTACCCACCGGGGTTCTAGTGAGAAGTCGTGACCAGTAGAGTGCAGCAGGTCGGATGTGAGGACAAATACTCGCCGAAGACATGCGCTAGTGGTCACGCTATGTCCTGAATTTGCAGAAGTTAGAATTCATGGGATGGCCATTGGGTCGAGTCCCAGTGGCTGATGAATGGTCTACGAGCTCGCCTTGTAACCAGAAGGTCCTGGGTTCGAACCCCTGTGGTGGGTGTGTACTGCTGAAGAGTCCCAAACAGGGACGAAAGAGCTGTCTGGCAGTACTCCCTGGCAGGTTCCAATGGTTCTCTAACCAAATGTCAGCTCATGATGAAATCCTGTAACCAATCAATCAAATTCCTACAAACCAACAGTTGAATGTTAAATTTAGTTAGACCTATTGAAATATTACTTCCATCCATCAATTCAACTGTTCCTCTCCTCTATGCAGTTTATATATTTTCGTCTTCAAGAACACCTACCGATGCGACTAGATATAAACGCGTACTATATTCCCACATCAACATCACCTGATCCAAACAAGTCATAAAACTAACACTACCGAGTACCAAATAAATTGCCAAAGGCGTCTAGATAGATACCGAATACTCTAAACACAGCAGAGGCTATTACAATTACTTGGTACTCGTCATCTGGATGTACTTGCATTCCTCAGTGAGTGAGTGAGTGGTGGTGTTGCCCCCCCCCGAGGCTCGAACTCAGTGCCCATCATTCCAAACACCAAAGCGTTATCCCCTAGACCAGCTGGGCCACTACAGCCACCTCTTTCTTGTGCAACGAGTCACACTAATTATTTGATTCGAATTAGATTTTCCCGTCATGGGTACACCCAGATGACGAGTCCCAAGTAGGATGAAATACGCATCCTAGTGGATTCCACTGCGGCTAGTCACTATCCACCAATTGATTTCAAGTAACATGACCAGACACCGTCGAAGGATCTGCACAAGGAGCCAATTTGGAAACCTGAGACCGAGCACTTCGGTCCAATTCAATCGACGGGGAAATCTAAATAATAATAGTAATAAATATTACATAGTAGGATGATTTATTCCGAAATGAAAAAAGTTAATTTACACGGAAACTAACTAACTGTCTCTAGTTCAGATAATCAGGAAGTGTAACGCGAGTTAAGCCTTTAACCGCTTCGGTAGGTCGGTTTTCGACATAGAAATTTGCACATATGTGCGGCAGTTCAAGTCGCCACACTCCCTCCATGTAGCACACAAAGGAAGAGAAGAAAGTAAGAGAAATGCATAATATAGACAGTAAACAGAGGTGTGAGACCAGTGTTTAGACCTAATTATGGTCTATTGCACCAGCCCATATGTCTCTTGATTAATAGATACACAGTAGAATCGAACCTTAAAAAACTACGACCCAAATTACTTGATCCTCAACCTTAATTTCATCACTTACTTCTATACACATGCAAAGACAGATCGGCATGCTGAAACAAAATAAAACTCGCTAGCGACTGCCCACAGGTCGAGCTAGGGTGAGACGAAATACTCGCCAGTGATGACATTGATGACTGGTGCCAGTCGCACTAAAAATCACGATTTGATAGAAGTTAGGATTCATGGGTTGGCCAGTGAATCGCGTAGGTTAATTATTTAATTTATTAATTTAATTTACTACGGCTATCTCCTACGGGAGGATGAGCCGGCTTCGTGAACATCTCGAATCATCGCTACCCAGGCGCGGCGATCTGATGCAAGGCTTTGCGACAGGGTTATCCAATTCTTGTTCCACAGACGGATTCCATAGACGGTTTGTAGCAACAGGCACTCCATATCAACCTTGACTGTACTGAGAGTTCATGAAGTTTCATGGGAATTTGGTACGAGTGATGTCCCCACAATCGCTCGGCCTTTTGTTTGAGAGTGCAGCTCTAGCCTTTACACAATCAAGTGTGACCTACAAGGCAGTAGGAGTGGGGTAGGGAGTCCACTATCCATCGGCAGCCGGTGACCGCAGTTCGGTTCATACGCCTTTTGGAATGGGGCCAGACATCCAGGACATCCAACAAGCCCTTTGTCCATACGTCTGCCGGTGAGCTCCAGTGAGCTTCATACGCCAGTCGTTGGAGGTTTGGAATCAGGGTTTAACCATCTCCCCTAGACTGTCATCCAATGGACAGTCAACCCGGTGAAGAGCGCCGGGCATCCGCTTTCGCCCTCTTACTTTGGTGAAAAACACCTCCGCCACGTGAAGGCAGTGAGTAGGACTTCCTCAGGAGAGGCTATGTAAGACGCCCGGTCATATGGGAGCATTTCAAGAGGTGTGCGGAGGGGTGGGTCGCGTAGGTCCCAGTGGCTGAATGGTCTACGAGTTTCCCGTTTAACTTGAAGGTCCTGGGGTAAGAGCCCCGGTGGAAAATAAAACTGTTTCCTAATCACTTAAGTACCCCAGATGTTTTGAATACTAGATTTGACCGAAAAAGCACTTTCTTTCGTAAGGAAAAATTTGGTGTCACATCACCGAAAATACCCATTGAGTCAGGAAGAAAAGAAAAGAAAAATTCAGCGAAGAAAATTTTCTTTATCGACAAAATTATCTTCACAGGCTGTACAGTCATATTTCTATTTACCAAAAATATATAGTGGTCTATTATTGAGTAATAGGGGGCGACATAATTGGTATAATTACTCAGAAGTGGCTTTAGAAGTGAAAATTAGAAGTTGTAAATTACGTGGTACCCAACGGCACAAAGATAGAAATTCGATAAGGTTAAAATTGCTATTGAGTGAGAATAAAGGTGGTAGTTGAGTGTCAATTTAACAAGTGTGAAGAGGGTGTGAAAATGTACAAAAGGAACATATGAGAGTGATAATAGTGAATTAATTATTAAAGCAAAAGCAAACTAAAAGTAAAATTAAAAATTACAAAAAAAATCTAAATTTTTTTACAGGGAACGATTAGTGAGAAGGTTAAGACCAAGGTAGAATAAGAGACTGGACAAACTTTTCCTGTATTCAGAGTTCAGGGTTGTATTGATGAATTGCCAGCGCCTCCACCATACACAAAAGCCGAAACCTGACGCCCTTCGTACCATTTGGCTTCACTTTGTAGATGATCTTGAAATACGACTCTGGTGGAGCTACGTCGCCTGAGTTCACCAAATACTCGAGAATTGAGCTAGTAATTGTCTTTCATTGTCCTTTTGCTAACGATTCCGGATAATGTTCACAGATGCGTTTGGAAAGTGTACGCTTTTTGCGAGTGGTCAATATAACTAGCTCCACACAAGCAGGTGAATTTATAAACACACATTTACAACTTTTAATTTTCACTTCTAAAGTCACTTCCGAGTAATTATATCAATTATGTCACCCCCTATTACTCAATAATAGACCACTTTATATTTTTTTGTAAGTATAAATACGACTGTACAGCCTCTGAAGATGATTTCGTCGATAAAGAAAATTTTCTTCACTGGTGAATTTGTCTTTTATTTTGGTGTCACAGTTTAAAACAATACACTTACCGGATCATGTGATACTGCTATGCCAACTGAGATGACAGGAGAATCCATTTCAAACATTTTAATCCAATTACGAACTTTATCCCCTGAGTCAAGAGGTTCCTGAGCGAATTCCGGCTTTAATGAGAATAAAAAATTTAAAAAAAAAAAAAAAAAAATATGTCACTAAGGTAAGAGTAAAATAGGCGAATAATATTAATTTGCGTTTCTTGCACTCCGAGTGAGACATAAGAAGGGTGGGGGCACAACAAAACATCTCCACTACAGTTGGTTCTCTCCCAAAAACTTCCGAAAGCACACGAGGCCCTCCTGAACATCATTTGCCTTTATCCACGTCGCCCTCATCACCTTATTTTCCTCCTACTGTTAATACTATTCTGCAGACTAGTCAGATCATAAACAGCGCCGAGAACCAGAAAAACACCCCGCAATTGTCTCTTAAAACCATGCCGCCAACTTCATATTGGTGTATTTAACGTCAAGCCCCTCTGCTAAGTCGGACAACAGGCATCACTAACCAGAACTCAGCCATCTCCAACTATTGATGGACGTTGTGTTTCGGAGACACGCATACAAGACCCGGGTGTGGTTATTCACTCAACCCCACCTGGTCAACAAGGTGAATCTTCGAAATTCACCTTACGGGTGTCAGGAGATTCTCCAGCTAACTAGTTCACGAGGACTAGCAGGTGTAGGGAAAGCATTGAGTGTTAGGGCAGAAAAATCACTTCTTGACTGAAGCCCAGAAGGTAGTTGTATGTGTGCAGTCCTTCCGAAAAGGTCTGTTAGAAGAAGGAAGGCCTGCATTGCCCATCGATGTTTTTCACAGTCTCCGCTTACGTTCCAACCAATAGTCGGTCCTCCGCAACTAAAGGCCACACTCCTGGTGATGCCTTCCCGTCAGTTCCTTTAGATTTCAGCTCTACAACCATAATTTCCCCAGAACTCAAAGACTCAAAAGTTTCCTAGGGACTGCCCGCAGTGTCAACTACAGAAGCATCGCGGGTCGACAGTTGGTACAGTTTATGGTCACTGATTGTCTTCGAAACTCTGACTTTCGCTTCTGATCACTGAAAACACCCTTGACAAGCGCTTTCGCTGTAGTTTATCTCGCGAGGACCCCAGAATTTCACCTCTAACACCTCCATACAAATGTGTCCCCGTCTATCACTCTTCACCATTACTTAGGATCCAAAAACCAAGAAAATAGAACCGAAGTTCTATTTTGATTATTCCATGAAAGAATTTATAAGCAAGAAAGCCTGCGTTGAACACTCATATTTGTTCAAAGTAAAGATACCATCTGCTCCTGACACACAGTTAAAGGTATCCGGAAGGATGTCAACAGATAGCAAGAAAGATAATCTCACCCAACTCCATCAGTGCCCGTTTACACCGATACGGAGCTGAAAGGCTGCACAGCCACTATTACACCTAGCCGAACACAAATTCTGATTGTAACCAAAACCGCAAACAAGCAACAGCATGCAACCGCACAACCCAGGTCCAACTACAAGCTTTTAAGCAGCAGCAACTTGAATATACACTTTCGGAACTGCAATCAGTTTCAACTCACTTCATACGATCTTTGCCGAGCTCGGACTCCCAAACCATAGTTCACATTCGCATTCCACTCGAGGGCTTGTAGTATGATGCCGCTCAATAGGCTCCTCAACGTGTGTCCAATTAATCTCTACTTTATTTTACGTATTTCTCGCTGAGTAGGTTCTTGGCTCATTCACTACCTTCCGGATCTCCTTGTCACGGATCTTCAGTATCTAGCTAAGGAGGCTGTTGATGGAAGTTTGCTGTCAACAGTTGTTAGTACTTCTAGAAACGCGTGAACCAATTCATCGAATCATATGGATGCGATGACTTGACATAAGTAATGAGAATTCGAACCTTGTTCGCCATGTTGAACAACTCTATGGATCTCCAAAGTGATTTCATAGTAATGGACACCTATCTCACTTACCTGATCCGATCGTAGCTAGAGATTGGACATCGTCATTCGTGCCGCTTCTAGTGGAAAAGACCTAGTGGTGGTCAAACCGAAACATGACTTCACCAGTCAATGAAATCCATAACAATTAGTTTAAGCCGGCCACGTAGGGAGGTGTAGACTTCCTGGCTGGGGTCTTCAGGATAGTAAAAACCAATGAAGGCTGGAGATAATTGGTGACATGGCTCAAAATCGTTCTCAAAGGATGGAGCAGATGGATTCACTCTTTGTGATTCGTTATATCCAATTAAAGTACTCTATCGTTTTTCCATATTACTATTCTGTTTGCCCCGTATCTCGGTTTATTATGTCTCTTTCTTTTGAAACTCTCTTTACTCCCTTCTCTTGCTTTGTGGGCTACATTGAGTGTGGCAACTTGGACTGCTGCACATCTGTGCAAAGTTCTATGTTGAAACCGGCCAGTCAGCTACTTGTAGTTGATGAAACGGTGCTGCCAAAACGAGGGAATGAGACGAATATCTTTAGATCTTTCTCCCTCGCTGACAATGATGATGACTGGTCTATTTTGTTGGTCGGATACCCTCACCACCTCCGCTTTCTTCAAGTTCTTCTGAAATCTTGCGTTTGCTGCCGACCTTTACTTGTAAGTCTCCGGAGTTTGTGCAGTATGACGCATTAAACAGTCGCGAAATCTAAATCATCTACAGCCTCTTTGTCGGTTCATCGTGCAGTTTTCTTTTCACTCCCCACTAACTGTCGCATGAACTTGTCTACTACAATCGGGAAGATCGTCGGTGATAGTTGACAGCTTTACCTTTATCTTGTCTTTACCTCGAGAACTTTCAGTGACCTATTTCATTGTAAGACACTTAACATGTGACACCACCAAATCGCTCCTGAATGGGGTTCATTAATGTTTCTGTCACTGCACTCTATATTGTTGAGGCAGTCCCCAATTTACTACTTCTCGAATGACACTGTCATAGGCTTTTCCAAAGTCAAGCCTCCATACCGGTCTCTGTTCTCTATTCGTGGGACAGGATGGAAAAAGCGGAGAAGTGACGACCCCATGACGTGGCGTCCAAGAGATAAAGGATATTTTTCGGTAGGTTAGCGCATTGATTGGTGAGTCACAACTCCTTGATTGGAATCTGAGAGACAGCTCAAATCACTGGCTGGAAACGTTATCGTCTGATGATATAGCCAAGAATCGCAATCACTAATAGCGAACGTGCTGCAATTTCCTTCTCTCTTCCCTTTCTGACAATAACTGACAAATTTTGTTTGGTCTTGTTAAATATAACTGCTTCCCCCGCAGATAAAGTTCTTTATTGATTCGCTACCTATTTTTCTTTTTTACATGTTTTATTATCAATATTATTGTGTGGCGCATCTTCCTGGTGTGTCTATATTGTACCATGTTTCGTGTTTTCACAATAAACAAATGTTTTTTCAAGTATTGGCTTTTGTAGGGATTTTGTCTGATTTTTGTTTTTTTATTTATTTTGATTACAGCTTGATTCCACACCGTATTTTCAGTACAAGTATGGAATTTTCAGCATGGATATCGGTAGCCCAAATTTACAGGCCGACCATAGATATCGGGTGTGCGCCGGCAGGGGATCGAACCCCGCACCATGTGCATGGTCGGCGAGAGTCCTAACCACTGTGCCACCGACGCATATTGGTTGGTCTACAAGCTCACCTTGTAAGGTGAGGTCCTGGATTCGAACCCCTGTGGCGGGTGCGTACTGATGAAGAGCCCCAAGCGCTAGGATGAAACAGCTGTCCAGTACTCCCTTGGTAGGCTTCCCAATGGTACTATAACTGATTTCAGCTCATGATGAAATCCTCCTACCAATCAAACAAAATCCCTACCAAAACCAATACTTGAAAGTCGATCTGATGCTCACTAGCGACTGGCCCTATATTCAGGTAGGCAGTTTCCTGGGGTTCTACAGGGGAAGCCATGACCAGTAGGGTGCAACAGGTTGAAGGTGAGGCAGTAACTCATCGAAGAAGACATTGCGAATTGGTCATGCTATGTCATGCATGAATTGGCGAAATTTAGAATTCATGGACTGGCGCCTTTGGATCGGGTCACAGTGGCTGATGATTTGTAACTAGAAGGTCCTGGGTTCGAACCCCTGCTGAACCAGATTCCCAAACTAGGGCGACGAAATAGCTGTCCAGTACTCTCAACTGGTTTTTCAATGATTCTCTAAATGGTACCAGGCAGGTTTTAGACCAGGTAGAGGGTGTATTGATCATCATATCTTCACAATTCGACAGATTCTAGAACATAGGCATTCCTACCGGCGTCCAACAATCATTATATTTCTTGACCTAAAGGCGGCATTCAATTCTGTCGACCGAGAGGTACTCTGGCGATATTCGGCTGTAAAGGGAATGCCGAGAAAATACATTGCACTGATTAAACCACTCTACTCGTACTCACGCAGCCAGGTGAGGGCTTACGGCGAGTTGTCATCTGAAGTGGTGACGACTAGTGGCGTCCGTCAAGGATGCCCATTATCCCCATTCCTATTCAACTTCATCATAGACGTAGTAATGGACTTAACCCTAACACACTTCAACGACTCAGGGATTGACTTGCTACCAGGGAATAATCTCGTTGACTTAGAATATGCAGGCGACATAGTCCTTCTAGGCGAGGACGCTGAAAAAATGCACAGTTTTCTGAACACCTTGAGCAGCAATCTTCGAATGTTTGGCATGCGATTCGCCCCTGTAAAATGTAAGATGATGCTGACTGCAGGATTGGACTACTTCGACCCCTAGATTAGAAATAGGAAGTGAAGTGGTAGAGGACATTGACCGCTTCACTTACTTGAGAAGTACCATCAGCAAACGCCAACGGGTTGATCTCTGACGAAATCTCAGCATGGATACAGAGGGCTAGTTTCCAATATGCCTGTTTACGCCGTATCTGGCGTAGACGTGATATCCGGATGACTGTCAACCAAAGGGCGTATCTGCTGCTCATCAGTCCGCTCCGTCCTCCTTTATGGCTGTGAGACCTGGCCATTGAGAGCGGAAGACATGAAAAGATTAGCTGTCTTTGATCATAGGTGTCTGCGTTCCATCTCCCGCGTGAAGTGGTATAATAAGGTGAGAAATATTGAGGTTAGGCATAGGTCGAGTGCTAGGTAAGGAGGGGAAATCAATAGACGAGGCTGTGAAATTACATCGACTGAGATGGTTAGGTTAGGTTTGTCTTACGTATGCCTAGTCATCGCCTTCCTCGACAATGGGCAATGTTAGCTGACTGACATAGGGTCAGCCTGGAAAAGAGCTAGCGACGGTCAAACCAAAACATGGCAACAGTTAATTTAAGCCAGCCAGGTAGGAAGATGTAGACTTCCTGGTTGGGGTCCTCGGGATGGTAGAAACCAATGGTTGGAAACAATTGGTGACATGGCTCAAAATCGTTGTCAATGGCTGGCGCAGATGCATCCACTCCTTGTGACTTAAAATGCCCAATGAAACTATATTGTTCTTCGTTATTACTATTCCTTTGTCTCACACCTCTGTTTACTGTCTATATTATGCATTTCTTCTACTTTCTTCTCTTGTTTTGTGTGCTACACGGAGGAAGTGTGGCGACTCGAACTGCGGCACATCGGTGCAAAGTTCTATGTCGAAAACAGGCAGATAGACAGACAGGTGTCAGCCCATGATGAAAGTCTCCAACCAAATAAATATATATACATATACGTAGAAAAAGAGGGGGGGTTTAAAATATTACACTTACAAGGACATGATAAAATGATTTGCCTTTCTCTTGTACAATAACTCCACCCAAACCAACAGGATTCTTTGCATTACTATATCTAGCATGTAAAGCTTCACGAATCATTGCATCGAATTTCCCGTCTTTAAGTCGACCAGAAACAATCAGTTCAATGACCTGTGAGTGCATGTGTGCATGTGTGTGGTAAATAATAAATACAAAACATTCAGAGAGAAATAATGATAATAATGATTAAAAAGTGAAACGGGAAGTAAGGTTGCCAGGGAAGTGGGAGCCACCACGTTTTCGGAGGAGATAGCCACCAAAATATTCAAGCGATGATACAGCACTGATTGTCTACGCCTTTCGATAGAGCCTGAGTGTAGAGTGAACAGTTGAGAGTGTGTCTGTGTATTGTGATTTGCAATACGCTGAGGTTGAAATAGGAATGCCGAGTTAGTGACGCACAGACGCACTGATCACGAATACCGCTTCACTATGGCAACAACAACAACGACACTATACGACAACCTACCAATTGTTCCCCAGCCCGCACTACTTAAACAAGAACACACAACCGAAAAGTATGCCTTACGCAATACTTCATGAATCAAAATATCATCAAGGATATGTGCGCCGGTGGTTAGGACTCTCGCCGACCATGCACATGGTCCGGGGTTCGATCCCCTGCCGACGCACACCTGATATCTATGGTCGGCCTGCAAAATTTGGGCTACCGATATCACATGCTGAAAATTCCATACCTGTACCAAAAAATACGGTGTGGAATCAAGTTGTAATAAAAAAAAATCAGTCTGTATTCATGATCAACCATCTATTATCATCAAATCAATGTGCACCGTGATGTCGAGCTACCTAGAATGGTGACCACATTACAAACCTGACTGACTGATAGAATTCAGTCTACACCGAAGAAAGGACTAGACACGTCACACTAGTTACTACTGTCCAATCAAAAATACTGGAAGCTATTTTACGGAGGCCTACTCTGATTGGCTTATTTCCAGACTGGATATCGATGGCTTACGTTGGCCAGTTCTGATTGATTTGTTCCCAGACTAAAGATCAACCACCACAGCTGCCTCCTGTAACTCCATACTAAAGATTAGATTGCCAGTCGGCCAGAAAGAATTACCAACGAGGAACTATGAGAACAAACTAACCAAGAAACCATTTCTCAACAAATATATCGGAAGAAAATGGAGATGGGTCAGACATACGCTGAGGAAACGACCAGTTGGGCGCAGATCCAAGGGTGATATGTAGGGGATAGTTTGGCGAGGAGAGGATGAGAGATTATGCGCAATCGTGGGACCAGCTAAAGAGGACAACAGAAAATAGAACAAAGTGGAAACGTGCTGCCGAAGGCCTCTATTTTGTTCCACTAGTAACCCAACGGGACAATAATTAGTAACAATAATAATATGAGGAGTGTGCTGAATGCTTTGATTGGACACTAGATACTTAATAAGTAACCAGTATCATGCATCTAATCCCTTGTTTGATGAAGGACAAGGTATACAGTATACAGAAAGAGATGCATTTAGACAATATTCTGCTGATAAGTAAACAAAGACTAATAAATTTAATTGAATTTTAGATTTTCCCGTCGATTGATTGATTGGACCGAAGTGCTCGGTCTCAGGTTGACATGTCGGCTTCTTGTGCAGATGCTTCGACGATGTCTGGGCATTTAATTAGTATTTAATTGGTGGATGGTGACTAGCAGTGGAATCCAGGATAAAGCGCATTTCGTCCTATTTGGGAGTCATCCGCCAGCTGGATGTACCTGCATCCCCCAATGAGTGATGATGTTCCCACTGAGGCTCGAACCCAGTGCCCATAGTTTCAATTAAATTATTATGACCCGTTACACAAGAGGTGGCTCTCGTGGCCCAAGTGGTCTAGTGGATAACACTTTGGCGTTTGAAACTATGGGCACTGGGTTCGATCCCCAGTGGGAACATCACCATTCACTGAGAAATGCATGTACATCCAACTGACGAGTCCCAAATAGGACGAAATGCGCTTTATCCTGGATTCCAATGCTAGTCACCATCCACCAATTAAATGACTAATAAAGTTAAAAAGAAGTAAACACTTTTGTTTTGTTATTTCACTTACCGGTCCAGGTTTCCCTTCGCATAGAAACATTTGGCCTAGCAAAGCGAATTTACTGTTATCAGCTTTTGTCAACAGAGGTTTATTATTCTAAAATAAGAAGAAAAAAACAATCAAATACAAAAAATATACACGTATATATGTACCCAGATATCTTTTTGTTAAATAAGCTTTCCTTGACACAAACCGAATGGTGAGCTGGCTGTTAACTGGATCGCCAACGGGTTGGTCGCTGATGCAATCTCAGCCAAAGCATACAGAAGGCTCGTTTGGCGTTTACCTGCCAACCTACGTCATCTCTCGCGTAGACGTGATATCCGACTATTGACCAAAGGGCATGTGTATTGCTCAACAGTCCACTCTGTCCTCCTTTATGGCAGTGAGACCTAGCCATAGAAAGTGGAAGACATGAAAAGGCTAGCTAGCTGTGTCTGATCATAGATGTCTGCGTTCTATCTCTCCTATATGTTAAGTGGTATAATGAGGTGAGCAATAATAAGGTTAGGCGTCGAGTGCTAGGGAAGGAGGGGAAATCAATCGACGAGACTGTGAAGTCACTACACCGATTGAGATGGTTAGAACATGTGTTACGCATTCTTGATCATCACCTCCCTCCGCGGGAAATATTAGCGGATACAGAATTAGTTTGGAAAAGAGCTGGTGGTGGTCAGACTAAAACATGTCTTCATCAGTCAGCGAAATCCATAACAGCTAGTTTAAGCCACGTAGGAAGGTGTAGACTTCCTGACTGACTGGTCGGGGTCTTCGGGATGGTAAAAACCAATGGAGACTGGAGACAATTGATGATATGATTGGCTCAAAATCGTTCTCGATGGCTGGCGCAGATGCATCCGCTCTTTTTGATTTATAATATCCAGTAAAATTCTATTGTTCTTCGTTATTACTATTCTTTTTGCCTCATATTTCTGTTTATTATCTCTATTTACTCTCTTCTCTTGCTTTGTGTGCTACAAGGAGGGAGTGTGGCAACTTGAACTGTTGCACAATTGTTCATAGTTCTATGTTGAAACCAATCAGTCAGTGTTAACTGGTTGCATTCTTATTTCTCCGGAAGAATGCAGTAAACAGTACGTGAAGGCAAATCTTCCTCTGCCTGGCTTACTGAAACCGGTGTCCCTCAAAGTGTTGTCCTCTCTCTCTCCTCATCTTCCTCTTTTTTTCTCTCTTCTTACATGACACTTGCTTCTTTCGGAAGAAATATATTTTGTTCCATACGATGATGATCTGACCGATCTCGATCTAACTGTCCCCAAATTGAACAGCTTCTAAACACGTCAGACTCCTCATACCATTCAGCTACGAAATGATTAGCTGATATTTTAGAACCTGTAAGAAAATAGATATGCCACCATTCACTTTATGACGCCTTTCAATTGATCGACTGTACATACAAGATATCAACGTTGGCGTTAGATAGTTGGAGGCAATCGGCAGGAAGCTCCTCCTCACCTAGGTTTCGTGCTAGTCGGCACTCACCAGTCAGTCAGCAAGGCGTATCTGCAATCACCTTGAAGGATCTCATGTCCCCTCCAAATGTCAGATAGTTAACTTCACCTCGAATCATAAACGTGATCTACACGAACTGGTTCGTTCACGAGAAGCTAAATCAAGCCCTAAATACAAACCTTGGAATAGTTCTTTTCACTGCCCTTCCCAGGTCACTCCACATCTTGTCGGTTTCTACGAAAATGTTTCAGCTAACTATCTACATTAAGAAGTTAAGACAATCAGGTAAGTATCACTCAACCTCTACTTTTACAGTTCGGTAACTGTTCCATCTTATCTAATATTCCTTATTACCCCCTCCTTAGTCTTTCTTCGGCTACTCAAAAACGACTGTGTCCTATTACGTTATGAAGGGTATTAAAGGTTGTCAGTAAGGTAGGCAAGTAGTGTTCCACTGAATCAGCTAGCTCGTTACCATTGTAGTCGACAGATACACCTGAACTCATGTGAGAAATGGGACTAAAGCCATATTGTCTGACTCTCACATCACTCTCTTTATTTACCCAACTCTCCGCTTCCTTACATCTTATCAGGTAGAGAACTAGAAGTCATTAGAATAAAAGATTATATACTCGCTCGCACACAACTGAGTACAAAAACTCAACGACACCCTATTCGGCTAGCCCGCGTTCTATGTAACAGAGATAGTGTTAAGCGTTATACTTCGAACTTACTATGCATGTCATATATATTTATCATCGAGACGCACTAGATACAGTGAATGTTAGCTCAACAACCACTTGTATTTCCATGCATTTGGCAATGAGCCAAAACCCCTCCTCCTCCTGTGTGATGGTTATGAGCAAATGTCCCGACCGATAGCTGCTACCTTGACGTGGTAGTCGGGCTTGCACATCGCGATGACCCAACAGGCTGCACTGGCTGGAACCAATGTTCCTGCAGGTCCTACCATGCCAGGAAGGTTGTTAGGATAGCGATTAGACTAAAAGCAGTTACCGGCATTGTGTAAGAATCTTTCCTACACTATGCTGGGGGTCTGAGGGCGAAGTCGTACTGCTAGGGAACAGATATGTAACAGCAGGAAGGGGATGTTTGCCTCAGATGACCAGCATGCCAGCCAGCTATGCTGTCTCTCCACTCCGGAAAAAGGGGGTTAGAAAAGGTCGACCCAAAAAAATTGTACATCCCGACTTACCCCACCTGCGGTGGTCCGTAACCGGCGGTAAGTTTACTAATACAGAACCAATCCCAGAAACCAGTTCATACAGGCCGTGTGTGACCGGCCTCAAGCAGTTGTCCCCTGGGCTCTGCGGTCACGCAACACTAACCCTCTTTCTGTTTCAGGTACCCGAAGAATCAATCAACTTCCACGGTGTGGGCAGCCGGGAAGTAACAACTACCCACACTTCCACTATGAGCAAATATGAGTAAACAGAAAGATGTTGTAATATTTTAAAAAGTCACCACTTTATGCCTCTAAATTTAACTCCAAATTTGAATACAATCCAAGTCTGAAAGTTCAATGTGGCACATTCGAAATCTTGAAACAAGTTTTTCTGGCAGTAAACCATCAAAATTTTGTGGAATTATATTTAATTTGTTCATTTTTGATGTAATACTTCGACTCTAACAAAATGCACTACATCTGGCATCAATTCATGATGTCTTTGACAATCGGTTTGAACCAGCCACTTACGGAGGCGTAGACCGCTAGGCTGGTTAGGGTTGTTAGGATACTAAGTGCCAACAGCCAATATGATTCAAAATCGTTGTCAATGGGGCAGAAACATTCAATCTTTTTGACCTCTTATATCCACCAAACCTCCAGGTTTTTCTATATTACTATTCTTTATCTTGTACATTTCTGCTTACATTGGTTCTTTCTTGAATCTTTATTCTTCCTTTCTTTCTTTTCTCTGCTTTTGTGTTAGATTGTGTGGCTAGTCGGTTGAACTGCTAAACTTCTGTGCAAAGTTCTGTGTGGAAACTCAGTTGGTTAACTAGTCACAGTGACCTTTATATACATGCTGAGATTCCGTCAACGACCAACCCGTTGAGGTTGATGCAGCTTCCCAACCAACACAAGTGGTCAACACATCCTACCACTTCACTCCTGCCTATCTTTAAGCTAGGTGTCGATGTAGTCCAGTCCTGTACAGTCATCTTACATTTGACAGCAAGGGCGAATCGCATGCCAAACATTCGAAGATTGCTGCTCAAGGTGTTCAGAAGACTCTGCATTTTATCAGCGTCTTCACCTTAGAATATTATACCATCCACATATTTTGATTGAAGATGTATTGAAATCACGTGAGTGCAGGTTTTTAGAAAGTTGATAAAGAATTCACCACCACCCTCACCACCAAAAGAACATAGTACTGACACGGGACAGTAATCAGTAGACAAACAAAACTGATCACGATTAACCAAGCAAACAATGAACAAATTAAGTGTGCGAAGAAAAAAGAGACTAACCGTTTTATCATATGATCCTAATAACGATCCATTATTTGTAACCGTACCATTTGAAGAAGCCATATTGATAACCATCTGAAGAAACACAAAAGAGTAAAGTGGAACAGAGAAGGGGTTTTTGACTAATAACAGATAATACATAATCAGAGGAATTGATCGATACAATAACAACTGCATGCATACTAATGCACTTGACACTGGAGCAGACTTTGGGCGCACTGCAGATACTTTGGAGCAGACTGCAGATAACTGCCCCACTTTTTGCAATGCACCCTAAGTATATTAGATAGTTGGAGGCAATCGATAGGAAGCCTTGGACCTAGGTTTTGTGCTAGTTGGCACTCATCAGCAAGGCGTATCTGCAACCTTGAAGGAACTCATGTCCCTTCTGAGATTCGAACCCGCGTCCGCATCAAAGAAAGGACTAGACACGTCACACTAGTTATTAGTGTCCAATCAAAAGCACCCTAAGTATTTTGCGCCAAAATATTTGCACTGCGGCTGCAGAAAATGCAAGCTGGGAACACCCCTAGGCGGAAAAAAGTTCGAGCTTGTGAAATACAAAATTAAGTGAACCAACACACCACAATCACATGAGTACAAGTGGACTGTGTCAAGACATGAGTATACACTCGTGCCTTTTGCATATATGCAGAAAAATTAAAGTCATTTATCTTAAGGATACCTGTTACATTACTGAACTACTTAATTTCCCATAGAGCACAACAAAACGTCAAATTTACTTCTTTTTCACCATCTTACTACATCCTTGAAGAACAACCTCTTGGGTGGCTTTCAAAATACAGCTATATATGTTTTAAAGAGACAAAACCATCGAGGGGTTGGAGCATAGATGCTCTGCATTATAATTCAGACCAAATAATATTGCAGTAAACAACATACTGTAGGTCAAGACTAGAAAACTGTATCCAGGCAGCCATTCCTTGTCTAAAAGGGGACTCACACATTCTAGAAAGGGTTCAAAGGAAGGCAACATGTATGGTTCTCGGCATGACTAACTTATCATACGAGGAAAGACCAGACAGTTTAAATCTCTTCTCCCTGTCATACCGTAGGCAGAGAGGAGATTTAATCACAATGTTTAAAATTTTAAATTATGACTACAGACCTGACCTATTCTCTCTTTTCCTTCCCACCAGGTCGGAACGCCTGAGAGGACATAGCAGGAGAGTTCAAAAGCCAAGAAGAAATCATATTGCTGTTGAGTACTGGTTCTCACACCGGGTCATAAACTCTTGGAACCAACTCCCAGAAGAAGTGGTGTCTGCAACCTCAACTGATTCATTCAAGAAGGGTCTGGACAACCACAGAAATTTACTAGAAAAGAATTAACATAGGCTCCAAGCCTTCTATTCTCAACCAATAAATCTGAATCTGATCTGAATTTGTATTTACTTGAAGATTCTGTACAAAGTTCTTTATTCGCTCCACTTTTTCACCTCAATAATAATAGTAACGTACTCTTTGACCTTCGAACACTTCTTCGTAGTGGTATACCGTTACAAAATTGCCTATAAGCATCATTTTAACTGAATTGCCAAAAATATTATTAACACAATAACACTCGAGTGTTTATGATTATTGGATCCAATAATCATAAACTGAATTACCTCAGAGTTTGAGCCCGTCAGAAAGAAAGGTCCAGCAGCAGCACCAATCGCTACTCCGGAATTCACGTTTGACGCTTTAAATACATCTAACAGATCATAATGCTTCACGAGTTAAACTGGAAACGATACATACTCTATCCTTCTTCGGGACTGGCAACAGATAGTCAAAACTCCCTACGTCGCAAATGGTTCCCTTACCGTTTAGTCCTAGTAAGATATACAAACAAATTCATATCAGCATGTTTGAAAAGTACCTTTCAATGTCAGATTATAAGGAGAACTCGTGAGGTCTGGACATTCAACAACTGAACATTGTACATTCTCAAAACAGCTTTTCAAGTTATCTCTAAGTGCTAAGAGAAGTTCATTAATAATCTACTAACTTACCAAGTGACACATCTTGAAGTGTAGGACTGTGCAGGTCAAAAGAGCTCATGACCTTGATTAGACTTTGGAAACTGCGCCTTAACATTGATAGTCTCAGATGTATTCAGAGGTTTTTCATAAAGGTTTAAAATAATACGTTAGCAACCAAACTAACCATAGTGACAATTTTTTTCTTCCATAAAGTCATTACTGTGAAATAATTTCATTTTAAGGTAGTTGTAAAATAGGCGATTATCATACATACGAGTTTAGTAGAATGTAATATTCTCACTGTTAACAAACTAGCACGGAATTTTATTTTTAAACGTATTATATTGTTGTTCCACTACCGCAAATATCTGCATCTAATGGCAATATGAATAGACTCTCCAGAGTTGAATGACCTTGACAGAATCTTGTCCAATGGGTTTCTACACACGTGTAAATCATTTATATTTTCTTCAAATCCCTAAATGATCTCCATGTCTAGTACGCGGCATTTTCTCCTAGCACTACGTTCTTCAAACACTAAAGATTTATTTCAGTATTTCAGAATACTTCAGTATTTATCTCTTAACGAAGGAGAGTTCATAATTTCAATAGATAAACTGCCCTAATACTTCCATCCAACCGTTTTGCCATGAGTCACAGATGGAAAAGTTACTACTGAATCAGGTACGGAGTTCCAGTCGTTGACTACTCTCTGAGAGAATCTAAACTCCAAAAGTATTTTATTCGACCTCGGTTTGAGCACCTTCTTGTGGTGACCTTGTAAATGTATCCCAGAGGGAGGGAAAATATTTGAAAGGTCAATCCCTAAATCACCCTTGAATATACAGTAAGTCAATTCTCCTCCTTCGGTATGATAATGGGACGATATTTAAATGCTCCATCTTCATATCATAAGGAAGGTGTGAGATACCACTAACTAATTTCGTTCCTACCCTCTGTACTCTTTCCAGGGTGTGTCTCCTTTTTAAAGCATGGACTCACCGCTTGTATGCAGTACTCCAGATGAGGCCTGACATATGTTGCATAGAGTACTTGGAACACACCGTCGTCTAATCATTTGAAAGCCTTCGAAGTGCCCATAGCATTCGAAAAGCCTTAGCTGCGGCTCGATTACAGTTTGCCGTTGTTTTTAAGTCATGGCTTACAATAGCCCCTAAGTCCTTTTGTCCCCTAACATCTGGCAGTTCTGTGTCCCCCATGGAGTACGACGTGTAAGACTTCTGACCTAGGTGCATTACCGTGCTTTTCTTCGTATTAATTTCCAGACTCCAAAGGTTAGCCCACTCAGCTAATTTATCTGGGTCGTTTCGTAATACCAACCTATCATCGCTACTATTTACGGTTTTCCATATCTTAATATCGTCCGCAAATAGTAAGGAAGATGAGGTAGGAATTTTCGGCACTTCATTTACGTATAATAAGAATAGCAGGGGGCCGAGTACAGTTCCCTGAGGTACTCCACTTAGTACTGCTTTCCACCCTCACAGTACACCATTAACCCTTACCTTCTGCCTCCTATCCATCAGGTAGTCACTAAACCACTCACATAAGCGTTGGTCTAATCCAAAATGTTTAAGTTTACTAAGAAGACCTAAATGGGATATCTTATCGAATGCTTTACTCAGATCGATAAAGACAACGTCCAGTAGATGATTCTTATCCCTGGCCTCGACCCAATCTTTCCTAGCTAACAGTAAGTTTGTCAAGCAGGATCGTCCCAGTCGAATTTCATGCTGTGTCCACTGCCAATAAGCCATGTTTTTCCAAATGAGCTATGGGCTGATCCCTTATGAATTTTTCTAACACCTCTGCTATAATACAGGTCAGACCTACAGGCCGGTAGTTAGATACTAATTGCCTGTTCCCATCTTTGAAGACGGGACTTATAAAGGCATCTTTTCAGTCCCTGGGTAGCCTAGCCTGGGTCAGAGACATTTGAAAAATTACTGTAAGTGGAATTTATATTATATCCGCGGAGGAGATTGGCAGTCTAGGATGAAGTCCGTCTGGTCCAGGTGATTTGCCTGGCTTCAGCTTAGACAGTAGTTTGAGTACCACTGCATCCTCTACTACAATTAGGGGAATTTTACGGGCTATATCGGTGACATCGCTACACCCCTGAATGGTACGATTAGGCGAGAAAACATCACAAAAGTATTCGGAGAGCTTCTCAGATTTTGTTTCGTCTGACTCGGCAGTCTTTCCAGTGTTGCTAGTGAGGGACGGTATACCACTGCTAGTTTTAGTCCTGCGTTTGACATACGAGTACAGTCTTTTGGATAATGCACACAATTCAGTACTAACTGTCTCTCATAATCTATACGACTTTTGTCAATCTTATACTTAGAAGGGTTTCGAGTTTTGCGGTATTCCATCCGAAACTCATCCCTTCCAGTCACAGCCAACCGGTCCCATAAGTTTTTTCGCTTTCTTAATAACCTTCTTATTTCATTACTAATCCAAGGTGGTTTATTAGATAGTTTTCGAGGCGTAGACCGAGGTACAAAGGGTGCAGTGACGCAATCTAGTGTATTCCTAAATCCCATCCAAGCCTCCTCGACAGTGTGGTGTGTATTAACAGACCAGTCAGCTAGGGTTGCTGCATTTTGAACTGAAGGCATATTCGCTTTCCAAAAGTTTGGGCGAACAGCTGTTGACCTATGTATGACAGCGTAGATCCTAAGCATAAAAGTGGTAACTATGTGGTCACTACTGCCTAGCCGCGCCAGGCACCTAATGTGGCCGACATCCTCCTTCTGGTGTCTAGAATGGACGGATCATGTTCAGGTATAGTGTTGGTGCATCTTAACGCTGCACAAGTGCGCATTTAAGTACTGCCAATATGAGTTCCCTGTTGAAACAACTGTACGAAGTAGTTGATGTTAATTCCTCCCAATTAATAAAGTCACCTGCTATTAGACATCGATTCTTACTACTCCACGTCCTGAGGTGATTTAGAACGAAATCTTCAGCTTGGTTGGTAGGACCTATATAAATAACTCCAATTTTCACGGTGCTCTTGTTCAAGATAATGACGCAGCTTGCGGCTTCACAAGTGCGGCTGTCATGGGCTTCCGACAACATCGATCTAATTCCTGTCATCCCGGATGTATAGAGCAACCCCCCACTTTTGCCACTGAATACTCTGTTTGCTCTAATACATATGTACCCAGGTATGAGTGGAGTTAAGTCTACACCCACTAACAACCATGTTTCGGTGATAGCAGTCACATCAGGCTGTAGTTCCTCAGACAACACTCCTAGTTCAGGAAGCTTATTCCTATGACTACGAGCGTTCGTATAGCATACTGAGAGACCTCCGTGTTCACTCGACTTATGAAGAGAGGTCTGGGCAACATAGGTTTCCGAGGCCTCACTACCCGAAAACACAACAGTTTGAGGTCTTTTTCACCTTTTTCTAATTGGGCCTTTAATTCACCCACGGCTTCTCCTCTCCTAATTCTATCTTTCAGAGGCCAGTCTCGTCTAATTCTCATCTTTTTGTCCTTGATCTTGAAAGCGTTGTTGAGAATAATACTTTTCTCCATCTCGTTCCCCCAGTACTGCCTTCAGCAGTCGTGGGGAACTTTCCGTTGCATCGGTGATTCGTTTACTGATCCTGATGACTTTCCTGATGTGAACTCCATTTGTGTTTTCCGGAAGTATTTCATGGATGATGGAGCTAACTATCTCGAGATCATCAGCACGTCGGGCAGCTGGATCTACTTTCTTCGATTCCTCCAAGTTCTAAATTACTATACTGTAATTTGAGTCCGAAGGTTTGACAATCTTATTAGTGTTTACGGCTCCTAAGACCCCATCACTAAGCACAATGCTTTTCTCTTTCCTATAATTCTTGAGCTTCCTATTTGTCGGTACTAACTAAGTGGAACCAGTTGATTCCACTTTACTCTCGCCGCAGTTGGAAGGCGTGCGTCCACCAGACATGCAACGCTTCGTCGTTGTGGTATCACCCAGCGGTCCTACAATGTCGACACTGTTTGCCCTCTTAGATTTTCGGGGCTTTTTGCATGCTGTTGCAGACTTCTGGGCACACTTTACCTTTGTTGCGTCTTTAGAATCTTGAGGATGTAGTTCCGTCCCAGTCGTATGACTCAGGTCAGAATCCTCGCTTATGACATCAGTACTAGATGTTGCATTTTCCCCCTCATCTGAGGTTTTTGCTAATTTCTTGGACATGAGAAGTCCTGCGGCCTCTTGGATGAGGAAGTCCAATGGGTTATCCAAAATTTGATGATATAAACCGAAAGGCCCATAAGTTACAACTAACTGTTCATCCCTCGTATGGTAATCATTGCTGTTGAGACCTTTGGTAGCAAGGAATAAGGTATAGTCCCCAGGCTTACTGAAAGGTGTCTCTGTGTGGGTGACTGCTTGACACTAATTGATAATCTCAAACAGGCCATTTCCTTGGCTAGACAAATGATTTCCATTCCGGGGAATGGAGGTTTTAGATTGACAAGATGCGTCGGCAACGCTGTACAATTAGTAGAGGCTATATCATCAAAAGAACTTACACCATCAGTGAGAGGAATGAACTTTGCAAAGCATACTGTGAACCCGATGGTTTTAGGCTCCCCTCAGAAGTGCACGTTAGTTTTCCATAAGTGACAAATTAGACTGACTGGAAAATTGTCTAGTACTACATTGGTAGTACAAATAATCGATTTTGAACACTACTTGCCAACTGAATCAAAAGTGAATCAAAAAGTTTCTCGTTAGTGACTTTTCTTCTCAAGAGGATGTTTCATTTCATGAAATGCCCAATAAGCATGAATATCTTAATGCGTAATACTAGAGTCGGTCGGTCGGTTTTTGACATAGAACTTTGCACATATGTGCGGCAGTTCAAGTCGCCACACTCCCTCCATGTAGCACACAAAGCAAGAGAAGAAAGTAGGAGAAATGCATAATAGAGAGAGACAGTAAACAGAGGTGTGAGACAAAGGAATAGTGATAACGAAAAACAAAACAGTTTCATTGGAAGTCATGAGTCACAAGGAGTGGATGCATCTGTGCCACTGAGAACGATTTTGAGACATGTCACCAATTGAACACCAGAGTCCCCAATACCACATGAAAGAAAACATGCAGTTCCACTCAC